TTTGAAATGAAAGACCTTGGACATGCTAAGAAAATTTTAGGTATGGAAATAACTAGGAAAAGGCATAACAGGTTATTGACTTTGAAGCAAACTGCCTATGTTGAAAAAATGATAACTAGATTTGCTATGTATAATTCAAAATCCGTTTCTGTACCTCTAGCCAGTCATTTTAAATTGAGTAAGGATCAGTCGCCTATTAATGAATCTGACATTAAACAATTGGAAAAGATACCTTGTGCTTATTCTGTAGGATCTGTGATGTATACCATGGTTTGTACTAGACCTGATGTGGCTCATTTTATTAGTACCCTTAGCAGATTCATGGCTAATCCTAGTTTAGAACATTGGGCTACTTTAAAATGGCTGTTGAGATATTTGAAATGTTCTTCACACTTAGGACTTTACTTTAGTGCCTTTAATAATGGTGTGGTGCTTAAATGATTTGTAGATTCTGATTTTGCTAGAAATATCGACAATATGAAGTCTACTACAGCTTATATGTTTACTTTGTGTGAACCTGTATCAGTTGGAAATCCAAACTGCAACTGGTTGTAGCTTTATCTACTATTAAGGCTGAATATATTGCTGCAACTGAGGCAATAAAAGAAGTTTTATGGCTTAAGGGCTTATTGTCTGAAATTAATAAGCACGCGACCGGAGGAGGCCATGTGTGATAACAGTTTGTCCAAATGTGTAGAAGCAAACTTACGTTGACGTGAGTGGAGTCGAGATCATGTTGGCACATTTTTTAAGATTCGCAGATTGAAGCCATTTGTGGGAAATGCCATTATAACCACGAACATTCCTGTGGAAAAAGTTTATCGAAAATTTGCTGGGCATTTCCCTTGTAAAATGATTTGTTCTTGAGAAAGAACAAGTGTAAACCCCAAGAAAGAGATTTGAAGTTTATATCAGTACTTGGATTGTTGATATTTCTTGAAAAATGGAATATATTGAGACATAAATCCATTTGTAAGACCCCCACCTTTTTGAAGAAAAGAGTTGTATGGAAAAACGAGTTCACACAGTGAAGAAGCCCCACTTAGAATGGTTAGGGAAGCCCCTAAGGAAGAGGTCCTTGGGTGAACTTCCCCAGTGGGTCATCACCGACCTCTTCACCAGTATAGATGAGGTAGAATGATTCTGTCTAACTCACTCGAGAAGTGGCTAAATGGCTACTACGAGAGCATCATCTAGAAAAATGCCCTTGTACAATAGTTCCAAATGCAAGGGAATGGGAAAATTAGGCATTTAAATGAGAGGCCATGAACAAAAAGACCAACTGAAAAGGGAAAGGCCTCTGAAAAGACCGCTAAAAAAGTGACCTTGAATAACTAGACCATCTGAAATTGGAAAGGCCTTTGAAGAAGTAGCCATGAATAAGTAGGCCTCCTGAAAATGGGGGTGACTCTGAAGAAGAGACTATGAATAAGAAGACCTCCTGAAAAGGGAAAGGCCTCTGAAGAAGAGGTCATGAATAAGAAGACCCCATGAAAATTGAGAGATCGTTAAAGAGGTGAACTTGAATATATAAGAGACTCCCTGAAAGGGGAAGGTCTCCAATAAAGAGACCATAAATGAGAAGACCCCATGAAAAGGGGGAGGCTACTGAAGAAGTGACCTTGAATAAGTAGAACCTCTAAAATTGGGAGGTCTCCAATGCAGATGCCATGAATAAAAGGCCCCCTTGAAAGGGGAGGGGTCGCTGAAGAAGAGGCTGTGAATAAGAAGACCCCATAGAAGGGAGGTCTTTAATGAAGAAGCTATTGGAAGACCTTTTTACAAAGGGAAGGCCTTTGAAGAAGAGGCCATAAAGGGAGCAGCACTGAAGAAGGGCGCCTCTATAAGTGATAAGCAAAAATTTCCAAATTGAAGGGGAACAACGCAAAAGAAGAGAAAATGACTAAAGCATACAAAAACGTGAACTTAGGGATTGAAGTGTAGATGTTTCGAAACTTTAAGGATTTTGAATGCAAGTTATCAAGGGTATGATTGAAATAAAAGTCAAAAAATGAAGATCAAATGTAGAAGGTCAAAAGTTGAGGGACCCAGGTGAGAAATTATTGAAGGACTTGAAGGTAATATTTATATTTTGCCTATGTACAAGCATGACCTTCCACATCCACCATGGGGGAACCCTTGACATGGATAGGCCACTATATACAAAGAAGTAATCCACTTTGAAAGGAGAGGTGAGAAGCACCTTAATGATGGCTCGCCTCTTATACCTATAAAGATTAAACTCCTATGGATGAACCATCCGTCATGGGAAAGTCCTTGCATTAATGAACCATTTACCATGCAGAGAAGCATGAGTGTCTCGAAAAAGAGATGAATTTGGGATTATCTCTAAATTCTCCAAGGTTGACATCATACGCATCCCATGGATGAAGCTGAACACCATGAGAGAAGCCTCTATATGGATGGACCATCCACCATGTAGGGAAACATGAGCGTCTCGGAGAAGAGGTGGATCCCAAAAAGGGATCACCTCCAAATTCTCTAAAGTTTACATCATAAGCCTCTCATGGATAAAGCTGATCATCATGGGAGAAGCTTCTACATGGATGAATCATCCACCAGTAGGGAAGATGAGAGCCTCAGATAAGAGGTATATTCCAAAAAGGTGGTCACTTCCAAATTCTCCAAGGTTGACATCATAAGCTTCCCATAGATGAAGTTGATCATCATGAGAGAAGCATCTGCATTGATGAATCAACCACCATGTAGGGAAGCATGAGCGCCTCGGAGGAGAGGTGGATCCCAAAAATGGATCACCTCCAAATTCTCAAAAGTTCACATCACATGCCTCCCATAGATGAAGCTAAACACCATGGATGAAGCCTTTGTATGGATGAACCATCCACCATGCAGGAAAACGTGAACGCTTCTGAAGGGAGCGTCAAAAAAGGTGCTTACATTCAAACACCCTAAAAAAGCTTTATCTTTACTTTAGCTTAAACTTCAAGTTTCAGCCAAACTACAGCATCATTTCAATTTCTTCATAACAACTCAACATTCAAATTAAAGCTTATACAAAAATTAAAGGCTTTCCATGAAAGTGTAATAACAGGTTGAACCACCAAGTCAAGCAAATGACATGCCATATCAGAATATTACTTCTCAAAATCGAGGCTCAAGAAGAAATCCACACCTCAAAATCGAGGTTCAAGAAGAAGCCCAAACAAAATGCCCACACTCCGCATCATCAAATTTCGAATCGAAGTCATAGGTAAAGATGACGAGTCGATGCCTCACCTAAAGCATCATTTGTAAGCAGAAGCTCCATGGCCGAAGCGAGGTGCCATCTGCTGCAAAACAATAATAGAGAGGTGATCCACTGCTTTCCTCGAAGCACTATATAAGTGGTTGAAGCCCTGAAATCGAAACACTGTGTAAATGGCTAAAACCCTAAAGCTGAAGCGCTACGTAAATAGATGAAGCCCTGAAGCCAAAGCATTATGTAAGTGGATGAAGTCCTAAAACCCACATTACCGAAGCAGAAGCCTCCTAGCCATAAATGAGCATCTTTTATATTCACTTCTCCCAAGAGATTTTCTATATAAAGATCTTATGAGAATGATGGATGTGACTCATGTTGGAGTAGAAGAATGTCAAATCTGTTAGCCTACTACATAGGTATCAAACTTAAGCACTAGAATGGCTACCTTTTTAGAGTGCATTAAATAATACATGGCCTAGTATGTGTGATATGATGCCTACGATGGGACGATTCAAATAAGGAGATGAAATAGCGTATCTCTTTATCCAACAGCTACCACTTCATCTCTATTACTATAAAAGATCACAACTCATGCCATTCGAAGGCTAGTGCAACTCAAAACACTAAAAGCTTTGTAAGATTATTCTCTCCCTTTTTTACATATTCTCATACACACATTCGATGCCCTAACATGGAGTGGATCACGTCTAAAGCACGCCTTACACCTAAATATAAATACCTTATTGACTAAGTTGACCGTCGGAGTGCACGCGGCTGCCTCCCCCACCACTGGAGAATGCCATCAAATGTGCAGAAACAAGCTTTATGTCGATGTGAGTGGATCCATGATCTTGTTGATGCATTTTTTTGGATCAACACTAGCATTTCCAAGAGATGGTTGAATATCATAAAAATCTTCAAACGAATGCACATACCTTCCGATAATCAAGTACTACTTCAAAAGGAAGCTCTAGGACTCGGGGACGGATTTAGTGTGGGGACAATGGGGTCAGCTGCAGCCACAATAAATTTCAAAATTTGTCCAAGATTTTTCAAGATTTAAAAAAAAACAATAATTCTTATAGTTTTCAATTTTTGTCCCCGCAATTCTTTTATTCTAGCTCCGTCCTTGTTCCTAGTGAACGTTCATAACCTTGTGAAGGTTGCATGTGTACTTACTTTGAAAGATCATCATTGAGAAAAACATTTTTAACATCCATTCGAAATAGTTTTCGTTGTTGAGCTGCAGTCATAACTAAAAGACTCTGAATTGAAGTAATGTGAGCATGAGAGAAAAGATCTCCTTATAGTCAATCTTATATTCTTGAGTAAGGCTTTCGACCACTAATCTGCCCAAATTCACGTATTTTAATAGGGGGAAATTACAAGGAAACATGTATTTATGATTACATTATCACTAATCAAATCTNATCAAACCCTTCTTACTGCCCTTAGAATCACATAAACATGTCAATATACTCTCATTAAACTTCCGTTTTAAGAGGCCGAGGACCATCACAAATATTTCAAGTTTTGCGAAGCTTAAATCAGGCAAAATAGATAAAAGTGTACTTAAGATCATGTACATATGCACATGCGTTCTCAATAAATCCTTACATCTGGGGGCAAATATCTTGATTTCCACTGTAAATAGTATACACAAATGTGTTCAAATAATATGATTAAAACAAAAATTTCTACGAAGAAACAAGTATGACAATTTAAGAATCGAAGTTAAGTCAGTTTCCAAATATATGATGTCTTATAAGAAGGATACTTAGAAGGTAATAAGATCATCTTTAGACGGCTGATGCTTCTTTGGTTCTGAATCCGACGTACCACCAGCTTTCTTTCCAAAAATCATCTCATCAAGATCGTCCATCATGTCATCATTGTTCCCTCCATGCAATCCACTATACACACCTGATGGTTTTCTGATAAGAGCTTCTTCTTTTCCTACCCGGGGTGAATCATCAGGCTCAACAGCTACAGGTACCGTAGCAGGTTCTGGCTCCCTTGGTACCACGAAAGCTTTCTTCACGTCATTGAATTTAGAAAGGACTTTCTGAATTTCATCATTCACATTCAATGCTTCAAAGAGTAGGGCCTCGTTATCACCTGCTGTCTCGATGATTCTTTGAACAGTATATTGCGACTCGCTGCACTGTTGTACAAGCATAATGGTCAAGTCATCCTGCAAAACAATCTAAAAGTTATTCCAAATGAAGGGGAAAAAGCCGATGTTTTATATGGCTGAAAAATATTATGCTAAAATTCTTCACTTCTAAGCACTCCTTGGATAAATGTTTATCAATATTTACTATAATATTACTCTTTTGATTAATTTGTAACAAACTAAATCACCACATCATTCAGACATACAATTCCTAAACTTATAGATAGTTCTAACATTTTATTTTTTATAAAAACCAATTTGACTAGTGACAGATCGAAACAAGAAAAAATCCAGACTGGAGAAACCTCCTACACATCAGGAAATACTGTCATTAACAGTAGCAGCACCAAAGTGATGACATGAATGGTGCTAAGACTAAAACTTGAATATAAAAAATTCTAAGCTTCCTCCCTTAAATATAGCTAATTTTAGAAATATATATTTCAACAGTAACATCTCCATATGCCTCTTATATGGTCAACAATGTAGCAGTTTATGATGATTGGATGAACCCTTTTATCCTTGCAAAGAACAGAGACTACAAAGAGAAATCTAACTAACATGTCAACAAATAAAAACGACAAATCAAGTTTAATGAATGTAATCAAATCTGACTGATTGATTTGATTGGAGTATAACAACAGAACAGAAATTTCGGCCATGGATATAAATATAGTTAGTATAAACCACTATTGTATTGAATACTGTCATCAAACTACGTAGACAACTGGCATTTGGAAACTGATGTAGCTAGTGAAGTTTTTTCGCAAAGAAAACAATTACCTCTAAAGCTCCCTAAAACATTTTGAAGAAGGAAAAAATACCTGAATATTCGGATAAAAGAAAATACAAGAACACGGATACCCCAAATTTTTAACATGTACAACCAAGATTACATAACAATTGCAGAAAGAAATTAAACAACAAGACAATCTACTTAACCAAAATTTTAAAAACATGGATGGGAAAGACGAAGGCCTAGACAATGTAAGTCATACTAGTAATGAGCTCTTACAAGTTAATTAAGAGTAAGTTCCAAAGGTCATATTTTTACATTAAATATAAGAGTAATGATATTTGTACATCATTTTGTACATAAAAATGTACAAATAGATGACATGGAAGTGGGATAAAGAGAAAAAAAGAGAAGGAAAGAAAAGAAATTCTGTTATTATAATCGTTCTTTCTTCCATGTCATCTATCTGTATACTATTATATACACAATGATGTACAAATAGTATTATTCTAAACATAAAGTTGTAAAAGTACCTTGAGAGCATCTTGCTCAGGTGAAGATGATAAAACAGTGCTGAGAAGCTCCACACTATTTCTTGCCACGTCAAATGCTTCCTTAGTTTGCTCTGCTGAAAGGGATTGGACAGGAATATCGTGATGGAGTTGTTGTGCAAGAGTGGTATCTGATTCTGAAGCTGAGACAGATCTGGCAGGAGTAAATATAGGAGCTAAGCTCTCGTTATCACGGCCAGGGAACTGTATCCCTCTTGATTTCAGACTCTGCGAGAATATTCAGGATATCAGGAGAATATATAGCCCCCGTTTGGTGGTACCGATTAAAATCTAAATTTTAATCTAAATCAAAGTCAACAATTAATTTTAACTACATATTTTATGGTCCCACAGCTTTTTAAACACACATTTCATCAAATTCTACCCAAATCTACTAAAAATCTGATTGTAATCTCTACCAAACAGAGGCATAACATAGAGCTAGGCAGGGTGTGGTGACATCGTGACAACAAACTATGCCCTTGGCTATCCAGTTCACATGCCCTCGCATATATATATTTGCAAGAAAAGTTAACAACCATCATCACGATTATTATAATCTGTTCACTCTCATTAAACAACTTAGCCAAGTCTTAATCTTTCACGTAAATTTGTGAGAACTATCACTGTTACAATTGAAGAAAATTTTAGATCAGAGAACAAATATAGGAGATTAATAATTGCTAGGCGTCAACTTTGAAATGTGCAAGACTAGAATGGGTCAAATTATTCAGGCACGTCCACCAGCTCTAAATAGTTATGGGAAAAAATAGAATGGGGGGTAATAATTTATATAAACACTGGAAAATTTTGCTCAAGTAAAGAAAACAAATGATCCTAAAAGATAAGACAAGGACGGTTGGTTTTCTTATTGGTTATTGTTTGCATATAACAAAGTCCAAAAGCAAACAATAATCAATGAATAAGGGATATCAGGCATATTCAACAACCAGGATACCTTGTATGTCTCTTCATAAACAGGCAAGTATCGCAGCTCATTTGATGACTCTCCCCAAGATTCAATCAGCATGAGTGCCTTGTTCCGATTGTTGACCAAAGTCTGAGGATCATCAATCAACTTCACCATCTCATCAAGCACCCTTTCAGCTGCGACTTCAGAGAACGCTTTCTCACAGTTCTTCACAACAGTTTCAAGCAACACAAGGGCCAAGTACTGAACCCTAGGGTTCTTCAACATAATCCGTTTCTTTGTGCCCCGTATCAATTCAACACTGTTGATCCTATCATGGTTGATCATGTCGCATAGCTCAAGATTCGTGGCCCAATCAGGCTCATCTAGGGTTTCGGCAGTGGCTTCCTCAACAATCTTCTCTGTCTGGTTTGGGCCTTGGAAAAATTCCTTCATCTTGAAACTCATTGAACTCACACCAGCACTTATCTTCTGCCCTACCTCAGTCCCTCCAATCTTCAATTTTTCCCCAAAGGCACTAACTTTTTCCATCAAATTATCACTCATCGTCTGAAAAACCAAATTTTCTTAGATACTTTTACAAAACCCACGAACAAATCTTTCAGTTGTTTAAATATCCAAAGTTTCACCATAGATAACAAAGTCACCATCATCAAAATACATAATGAAATTCGATGATCAGATCAAAGAAAAAAGAAGGGTATGAGAGGGTACCTTGGCGAGAAGCTGCGCTTTGTTAAGAAGACTCGATTTTTCCTCTCGGAGGGAAATCTGCCGGCGTTCCTATAAAGCGTTGCTGTCCCAGTCTCGAGTCTTGTACTTTACGAAATAGAATAATCATAAAATTCCAGGACCGTTTTATAAAACTGTTTTTCTAGTGGTACATCATCATGTACGTAGAGGTATACACTCCCTTCACGTGGGGTGAGATCCATTTGAATAAAAAAATATTTTATACATGTGGGTTCCACCCCATGTGAGGGGGTGTACACTCTTATGTACATTTTTTGATGTAAAAGTAGAATTATTCTTTATAAAATACACCACTTGGGTATTGGTCAATCAAGACTTGTTATCATTCGAATTTTAGTCTAGAAAATTAAATCGAATTATTCATAAATAATTTATAAACCTGAGCCAAGCATATGCATAGCCTGTTTGGTTCAGCTACTTTAGCTGATTAAAACCTAAGTTAAAATTTTATGAACTTACAACTTTTATCAAAATTTATTAAAAATTTGATTTTAATCTAAACCAAACAGGTTTAAATCTGTTCTCTTCTCTCTATGCAAGAAGCATGTATACCACATGAAGGTAATTATGTAAATAAGTTGAACATTGATATTTTTTTTGAGATCTCAATGAAATTTCATTCACCTTGAAATTAATTGTCTTTTATTGTCATGGGCACTCCATTGTGATGCTCTTTGTCTTTTATTGACAATAAACGTAATTGTCTTCTTTATATTGATCACTTGACTTGAACACGGGAGTTGACTTTTATTTTGAAGGATACTGGAATTAAGTTACAATGGAATAGTGCTTGTTTGAACCTCGTTACATAAAGAGCTTAATAACTGTGGTTCTTCTACTAGCTCACTTTGCAGGAAGCTATATTTTCTGTTAATCCACCCATTTCGTATAGTATTCGACTTGGTTTAACAACAGATACCCAATATTCAGGGGTTCCCTTTCCCGAACCAATGTATTTCAGTGGGTCTTACTGTAACCGATTTTTTTCTTCTTATGAGTTGCAAAGGAGCATTTAATGCTTTATTACATTGTATCTTATGACTCATAGAGCCTACAAATATTTCTCTCCTTCTCTCTCTCGTCAAGATTCTCATGTTTCTTCCTCTCATTCTCTTATTACATATGGCTAGAGTTTTACTTTTGACATAAAGAGGTTATGAAGATACATATGCATTGATATGGTTTAGATTAGGGACCCTTTTTAAGTGTTTAATTTTCTGATAGTTCTTATACATCAGGTACTTAAACAAATATCCGATAATTCCATCAAATAATTTTGGAAAATAATTTTTTTTTTACATATTCTAAACAACTATATAGTGTCTGTATCATCCCAACAGACAGATATCTACTATAAACATGCTTCTTTATCTATCACAAAGATGACAATGAGATTTCTTGGAATTCTTTCCTCTATTTTTCAATGGATTACATTTCTCTCTGATGCAGCCTCCTCTTCCTATTTCCTCGACTATAGCGTTTTGACCAATACTTTCTTTAATCAGACCTAAATGACACTGATACAAATAGAATGTTCCTCTTATTATAAATTTATGTAACACGCGAAATTTTAAGAAAGAACCCTTGAATGGTTACCTCAATTATTAAATCTTGTTGACTTCTTTCAAGAAAATTCCACGTATAATATTTGAAAGATTAACATTAAAGGGATCGAAATTTTAGAATCAGAAAGAAAGCATTTGTTCACAAGCCTTGTGCTTCAGGTAACCATTACTCAAAATATATGTATCGAATTTTTTTTTATACAATTCCCTACTTACCTCACAGTAAGGAATGTATTTCAGTTTTGTGCTGGAAATTATATTCTACATCCACAAGTAAGGATCACAGTTCAAATGTAGCTCAACTTTCTGATGTATTTCTTCTTCTCGTCCAACATTTTTACTGCAGTTTCCGTTTCTAATATGTTGTCTCTAAGATAGATTCTGCAAGAAGTTCCACATTTGCAGTTAAGAACCTCTCTCTGCATCACAAAGTGAAATATCAGTCAAATTTACAGGATTATTATTTCTGTCCATCATTCATTAAGAGATGTTTTTGATTAAATACTTCGTTTTTTAAGAGTAAAAGGGAAAAAAGAAAAGTCACACGTAAACCAATTTTGTTGGGAAATCACAGTGAAAATCTTACACTCACAATGCAAACAAACATTTACAAAGCATAACAGAAAAATAGAGAAACTAAAAAAGCTAGAAATCGAAAGCTTCTTCCCTTTCACCGGTTGGAAATACAAGGCTTAGGAACAGCCCTTCCACGCATTGCAAATCGCCATCCAGAGAGAGAGAACAACCGGTCAGAACCACTCAATACTTAGCTTGGATCATCGATCAAAAGATCTACCAAAAGCAGCCAAGTTCAAGCCACCAAACTGACCTAAGCCTTCGAGAAAAACCAACAACTCAACCACTATTTCAGGTCTAAGTTATACACATGTATTTCCCCCTTCAACAGGCTTAAAGGATCGATTTCAGAGAGCACCAGATGAGGAAGAAGAGACGGACCAACAGAGAGAGAGAAGAAGATCAAAAGAAAGGACCGGACTCAAAAGACATAGCCCAAAGAAAATATCTCATCCAAGAATAAATTCCAGCCATCGATCTCATCCAAGGGCCACAATTAATTCTAAACTAGCATAATCCAAGTGACCACTTAGCTACCAATAAGTGGATGCCACTCAAGCACCATAATTAAAAAATAAACAACAATGCAAAAGTCACAAATAGCACTAGTTCAATAGTGTTAGAGAACCACTAAAGCCCACATTCTTCACCTTGGTTCTCCTGACACACTTTCTCTCGGTTGCGAATTTGCACATGGAAGGTTGTTCATCATCATTGCCCACTATCTGCAAGAGAATTAACCCGTGTCAATATGTAACAAAGATAAGCACAATTTAAATTTTTCTACAGGTAGAATTTTTGTCACCATATCAGAGGGATTCATGTCAGTATAGATCTTAACAAGTTCAACTTTACCTTGAGACAATTTTTCATGAAGGAAATGATACTTCACCTCAATATGATTTGATCTTTCATGATAAACAGGATTTTTGCAAAGCAATAAAGTACTTTGACAATCAGTAAACATAATAGGTGTATCATGTATGAAGTTCAATTTTTTTAAGATCCCTTTCAACCAAATACATTCCTTAACAGTTTCGGTTATGAAAACATTATTCTGCTTTAGTACTAAACAGAGTAACTAAAGGCTGTAGCTGTGATTTCCATGTTATGCAGTTATCACCAAGGGTAAAGAAGTATGTTGTGGTTGATTTCCTACTGTCTTTATCACCAGCAAAGTCAGCATCAACATACCTTTAAGGGTTAAGTTCTCAAATCTTTTCTCATACACTAAGCCTAAATTTAAAGTCTCAATCAAATACCTCAACAACCATTTCATTCCAACCCAATGTGGATTGCCAGGATTGGACATAAATCTACTTAGGAGGCTAATGAAAAATGTAAGATCAGGTTTGGTAGTAATCATAGAAAACATAACAGAACCTATGACATTTGCATAAGGAACATTTTCCATTTCTTTCAATTCAGATTCAAATTTAGGAAAATGGGCATGCGAAAGATTCATATGACCAGCAAGAGGCACATTTCACAATTTTACTATCTTTCATACCAAATTTTGTTACCACTTTGTTCAAATATGCTTCTTGTGAAATAGTTAACCTATTTTCAGCCTTGTTCATTGTTATAATCATTCCAAGAATCTTTTTAACATTTCCTAAATCCTTCATGTCAAATTCAAATTTTAAAAGATCTTTCAGTTCATTAATTTGAGACTTGCTAGGTCCAGCCAAAAGTATATCATCAACATAAAGCAGCAAGTAAACTTCATACCCACTCTTCATGTTATTAAAATACAAGCAAGCATCAAATTCACTTCTTTTAAACCCTATCTTTAACACATAAGTGTCAAGCCTCTTGTACCATTGTGTTAGGCTTTGTTTCAGCTCATACAATGATTTTTCTAACTTGCAAACATAATTAGATTTGCATTTAGCCACAAAGCCTTATGGTTGGCTCATGAAGATATCCTCTTCCAACTCCCCATGTAAAAAATGCAGTTTTTATATCGAGTTGTTCAAGTTCCCAATTGAATTGAACAACAAGAGCCAACATTAATCTGATTGTCTTATACTTAATCACAAGTGAAAATATTTCATTGTAGTCCACTCCATATCTTTGATTATAACATTAAGCAATTAACCTCGTCTTAAACCTCACGGGATTATTAGGGCTCAAACCCTCATTTAACTTGTAATTCCTCTTAAACGGAACCAAATTCTGATCTTTAGATTTTTTAACAAGTTTTCAGGTTTTGTTATCACTCAAAGATTTCATTTCTTCCTGCATAGCTTTTAACAAACTTTAGAATATTTTCCATTAATAACTTCTTCATAAATGGCAGGTTTTATTTGTTCAAGGGCTTCACCTGAAACTAAGGCAAAATCAATCAAGTTGAGGGATTCATATATGGGATTAGGTCTGATTTGCCTTCTTGCTCTATCCCTAGTAAGCTGATAGTCTTAATTAGGTGGTTGATCATCAAAATGTTCAGTTTCAATAAGTTCAATGTTATTTTGAAGTTCAGTCACCATTGCAGGTTCAGTTTCAGTTTCAGGTTCATGATGTGTAGGGACATTATCATCATTTTCAGGTTTAGGTGAATCAAACTTGGTTAACTTAATCTCAGTCTGAACATTTCTTTCAGTTGATGATGCACCAGGTGAAGGACAATGAAGAGTGTCAGGAAGAAACTTTGGTAGTACAATATTACGAAATGGATCAACATTATTTGATTTATGAGAAATGAAATGGAAGGGAAAAATTTGTTCATGAAATATGACACCCCTGGAAATTAGAAAGGTTTTGGATACAATATTATAGAGCCTATAGCCTTTTATTCCTGGGGGATAGCCTACAAAGATACGTGCCTTAGCCCTGTGATGGAACTTTGATCTTTGAGAAGATAGAGTGGAAGCAAAACATAGGCATCCAAATACTTTTAGTGAAGCATAATCCACTAGAGAATTATACAGAGAAGGAAAGGGGATTTGTTTTGTAAAATTGATGCAGGTGTTCTGTTGATAAGGAATGTGGCAATAAGAATGCACCTCCCCAGAATTGAATATGAATTTTTGATTGAAAGTAAAAGGCTATAGGTACATTGAAGAGGTGTTGATATTTTCTTTCAACAACTAAATTTTGTTCAAGCGTCTCTAAACAGGAGAATTGATGGATAACCCTTTTTGAATTGAAAATTCAACAAAATGTAATTCGGGTGCATTATCTGATCTAAAACGTTTGAAGGTCATTTGGAACTGAGTTTCAAATATTTTGAAGAACCTGGGGATGATACATTGACTTCTGACTTGTTCTTCATGAGAAGAACCCAAGTAAAACGTGTACAATCATCCCCTAACGTTAGAAAATATTTATAACCAGAATGTGTGGGAACATGATAAGGTCCCCAGGTATCACAATGGATCAAGTCAAAGCCATTAGATGGCATGTGGTTGTAAGATCTAAAGGATAGTCTTCTTCGTTTGGCTAATGGACATACGTCACAAAGGACTGTTTTTGAATCTTTGTTTTTATTAAAAAACACATGTAGTTGATCCTTTAGTAAGTTCAATTTCTTAAATGAAAAGTGCCCAAGTCTATGATGCCAAGTATAAGTATTCACCTTATTTACAGACGAAGAAACAGAAATAAAAGTATTCCTGAAACTAATTTGTGAGCCATTAGCTGAATTATCACTTAAGATGTATAAATCTTCCTCTCTTTCACCATTGCCAATCATCTTCTGACTGTATAGCTCTTGAATCAAACATGAATTAGTGAGAAA